ATTTCTCATATGTCCCGCACTTGATAAAAACTGCATAAAATGAAATCTCATCCATGTTTAGTTTACATTACATTTTCCATCCCATTTTTCATTACAACCCATATTTAACCTTACATCACGTCTTCCATCTCACATCAAATTGACGTTCATCTCATGCTCACTTCCTATTTTGAATAAAGTTAAATTTGGTCCTCATGTCTACTTGTTTTTCAATTAAGTCCTTCAAGTCATGATTTTCTGCAAAAAATTGTCCAAACTCTCATTCAAAGAAATTCTCACCATCTTACACTTTTTACAAGAAATTTACGCTTGCATGTTTCAAACTCTTTGGTCTTATCCACTTAAATCCAAAGTATTTTACATTTTGTAAAAACAAAAAAAAAAATTCAAGATAAACTCATGAAAATCCATCTTTTAAATATCAAAATAATTCGAGCACATAGCTTTGGCACATCATATCATTCATATTCTCCAAGCATCACACCATTCATCATTTTTTTCAAACTTCATGACATTTACTCTTTTCACCAACAAGGACTAACTTGAACTTCATTAAAATATGTGGACCAAATTTACATTGTGCTACAAATTTTTCATCATCCTTGCATGTTCATTAATTCATACTAGACCTGGCAATTTTTTACCCAACCCGCTAATTTGCCCATTACCCACCCATTTAAAATAGGTTAGAGTCATATATTTATGACCTGTGACTCGTTAATGATCAGTTAAGAAAACCCGTTGGATCACTGGTCAATAATGGGTTGACCCATCAGGTTAACGGGTTTAACCCGTTTACCTATCTAAAAATTTAAAAATTTTTAATTTATTTTTTATTTATTTTGTTTTCCAATTTCCAATCTCACCTAAACCTGTAATAATTGACTAATTTTCCTTAATTAACTAATTGATTCTCTTAGCTCATCATCTTCTAGAAGTAAAAATAATCCCACTCACTCATGACTCACCTCCTGACCTTTCCTATTCTTACTTGCCCTAATAGTCTCTAAGACTCTAACTCTTTAAAGTTCAAACTCTTCTCATATTCTTCAACCTCCATAGTCCATACAACCTTCGACTTTCAAGCCTTGATTCCACCTTTTCTCTTTAGTCTTTAACATTATCTCAGACATAAATCTTAGTCTCACTGAGTCACCGTCGCGTCCACTCAGCCCTTTCTTTCTTTTTCCTTCGAGTCCGACAAGTGCTATCTTTGTCACCAACTTTTCTCTCTAAAGACTTCAAGGTAAGTTGTTTACTTATTTATGCTTCTTAGTTTTCTTTCCATTCCAAATAAAAATTCTACTTGATCTTCTCCTTTGCTTACTTAGATGCATTCAATTGATTGATTCTTTGAAAGCAATAACCATAACAAATATGTTACAATAGGGTTTGTGTTTTTTGGTGGTCATGCTAATATTGCTCTTTTTTTTTTTTTTTGCTATTGAGATTTATAAGTGTGGTGTTCTTGAATTTGATTAACGCTGTTCTTTGAAGAAAAGTAGAGAAGGTGATTCTAAGGAACTATAAATATGTATATATTAAATTAATGGGAAAAAAATTTCTTTTTATAAAATGTTGAATTTCTTTTTTAAATCTTTTGAAAATTTTTTTTGAATGATAATAGGTACAAATTATAGGGAAAAAAAATTTAATTGGGTCAACCCACGGGTTGACCCGTGACCAGTGATGGGCGGGTTAGGGTTTGCCTTTATTGACCCGTGATCCATTTTAACCCAACCCGCCTGTTTGCCACGTCTAATTCATACAAAAAAAAAAAAAAAAACTTAGTTTCTCTTGTTTCTTCAAGCATTAAAAAAAATTATTGTTACTTTATTTTGCATTTTCATATTGTGTTCATATTGTTTTACATTCTCGCAATTCTATGGTTACTCAATCTAAATCATGAGTAATGACAATTCCTCAACAAAACTTGCAATGCAATGATCTAGTTCAAATCTCAAGGATTCTTGAAGTGATGATCTATGTCAGTTATCTCTGCTTTTCAGTTATTAGTAGTATAAGTAACTTGAATCCACCATTGATTTTGCCCAAGATCATGGTTAAAGTAAAATAATGGGCACATCCTTGTTAAAGTTTCATATGTTATGACTTGCTTGATATGTTAGTACTCTCATCTCAGAAGTTAATATATTATTTGCTTATCTTTCATGTTTCCAGAATTCCATTGCACAATTTCTTTACTCATTTCTTATTCAAATAATTCTTTGCTTCTTGATGGATTAAATCTCTTCTTTCTAAGGATATGTTGATGATATCT